CATGGGCATGAACAGAATTTACCTAGACTCTGGTCAGAGCTTCCTCAGTAATTAGTTAGTGTGAGCTCTTGAAAGTCACTTGCTTAGCACCACACCGGTCTCAGCTCCCTCAACCCTTTCAGGGTTCATATTCTTTAAGGTTCTTACTGCACTGTCATTCTGCGATTCTGACATTCCAAGGAGGTACACACAGATACACAAAACAAAGACAACTCTATCTTCAATACCTTAAACTGCAGACGGAAACAAAAACCCATTCCACCGAGTCGATTCTGACTCATTATGGCTCTATGGGGCAGAGTAGAGCTGCCCCACGTGGTTTTCAAGACTTCCAGGTAATCTTCCAGGTGCAGACCGACACATCAGAAAGCGCCACAGAGAACCCCCTAGGACTCACTGTCTACCCATTAACAGTAGCTAAAGCCTGTAACAATGACTGGTTGGCTGTGATAAATGCTCTGAGGGAACTGGGTCAATGTTAACAACGTTTTTATTCTAAAAGTACATGTTCCAATGAAAGAAGTTACTCAAGAGTGCTGGCATTCCTGTAGCATGAGCCTTAGTGTCACAGTGGTGTCCAGACATGTTTAATTAGACAAAAGATTTTGCTCATTTCTGTAAAAAATGGCCTCTGCATATACAATGGGCTAAACGCAATTTAATCATCTGGTTCTGAAAAACACAGGTCGGTAGAACCAACCTATCTTCCAAAGCTTAGCAAAACCAAATAATCAGGAAGACAATGAAAGGGGATGCATTTACCCCTCTCAGAAACAAGACCCTTTACTAATTTAACTTCCTGCACAAAGCCCAGAGACGCCATCCCAAGCTTGAGGTGGAGGGAGACTTAAGACACCAAAAGGCAACAAGTCAAGTTCAAACATCAGCCTACTAAGTAAAAGCTATGATTCCACATCAACCACTGAAATGTTGCTCACCTAAAACCCAGTATACCTCTCTTTAGTACTTCTTTTCAAACAATTTTTGAACTCCCAAGACCACTCTTGGCCTAAACTTACTCTATCATCAAAACAGCAAATATTCTTAAAATCTGATTCCAATCTAGTTCACGTCATCCTCAATGAGCAGGTGAAAAGGAAATCACCGAAATTAAAATGGATTCTGTATTCCAGGGTCCTGGTTGTACTGTGAGCCTGCCTGCGTGCCTTATTTATTGTGCACCCATTAAAAACAGGGGCTTTTCTAGGTGCTTAGGAGCCCTGGTGGCACAGTGGTTAAATTGTTTGGCTGCGAACCAGAAGGTCTGCTGTTCACACTCCCTAACCTCTTCAGGAGAAAAAAAAAAGGGGGCAGATGCCACCACTTCTGTTGTACATACAGTCAATACGAGTCAGAACTGACTTGATGGCACCTAACAAGAATATTAGCTACTGCTATAAAGATTATAATCTTGGAAACCCCATGAGGCCATTCTACTCTGCCTTAGAGAGTGGCCTTGAGTTAGAATCAACCCAGGGGCTGCGTTGTTTAGCACACATCACAAGAAAAATACTGAAAATCTCTGCCCTGGCACAGCTAGTGGTCTTGAATTCACTTGAGATTGGTGAGTATAAAAAACAGTCACTTGTTGCAACCAAGTCTGCTATAAATCTGACCATAAAAATATACACAACGTCTGACATAGATGTGCAGAAACTAAAGTATAGGGAAAATATTTCAATACAGTAGTTGGGTTTTTTTGGTTGTTGATGTTTTTACAGTAGTCTTTATAAACACTTTTGTCTCTGGGTGGCACAAATGTTAAGTATTTGACAATCAGCTGAAAGGTTGGAGGTCTCCCACCATGAGGGGTTTGGAAGACATACATTCAACTTCCCAAAGGCCTTGAGGACCCAAAGAAGTGGCCTTATTTTTACACACATGGGTTGTCACAATACAGAATCAGTACAAAATCAACTTGACAGCAATTAACAACAATAACAACAAATAAAGCGCATGTTCAAGGAATCGATGACCAATAAACTGCCTGAGATAATGTGGGCCTGCCATATTTTGGTCGTTTGGCTCCTCTGAACACCTGCAAGATGACAACATCTATACAAACCTCTAGATGTTCAATAATCAAGTAACAACCCATATGTTTCACTATCATTTACACCAAGAATGCTCTTTAAAAAAAAAAGGGGGCCTCTCAACTGATAAAAATCCTACAAGTAATACATATTCAAAGTAAACCTGGTCTCTATCCATTGCTCAATAGTGACTGTGACTGTATACAACTGCTTAGGCATGTCCTGCCCAATATGGCTGCCACTCAAAAGGAGGGACTGAGCCCTTGGAATGTGACTAAGATGATCTGTTACTGTAAACTATATACCAGAAAAAAACATTGTATGGTCGCTCCATTTTTCAATCTGGAATGCACAGTAAAATAACAATTTGGATATGCTGGGTTGAAATTATTATCTCACCTGTTCCTTAACATGGCCACATTTTTCCCTTTAATTACATGGCTTGCATCATATTCCTTTTGGACAGCATTGATTTAAGGTAATAGACTTCCAATACCCTCACAAAATTAATATATACAATGTGTCCCCATTCCTAAGAATTGTATACTTAGGTCTTGATTAATATACTTAGCTTAAACTATTATACATATATATACATATATATATATCACACAAGCCAATCAAGTTTATATCAAAAGTGTATATAGTTTGATTCTAAAATGAAATGGTTTAGCAGGTTAACTAACAAAAATGTGGGTGTCCACTGTGTGAAGGGCACGCATGTAATCCATAAAGTAACTTGCTGCCACACTCCAGCAACAGAAACTACATACAAATATTTGGCTACTACGTACTGCATTCCTATAATGTGCCTTCCACCACGCTTTACTCTCACTGAGCCCTAAAATCTTCACCACCACCCTATTTGGTGAGTGCTATTATTACTACTATCTAAAGAAAAAACGGAGGCAGGGGTTAGGCAACTTGTCCAACTGACCCACTGCTACAAACCTGTGGAACCAGAATTCCAACCCAGCCAGCATGTTTCTGAAAGACAGGTCTTTCTACTCAGACTCAGGTCTACCCTGTCCTATAGGGTTGCTATGAATCGGAATTGACTACTAGATAGCAGTGGTGGGCGATGGGTGGGTGGGTGGGTTGGTAGGTAGGTAAGTGTCAGAATGGACTGGGTGGCGGTGAGTTGGTCTGAAACAAAACCGCTTCACATTTTTCTAAGTCAAAGAATTAGCCAAAAAGATGATGTCATTACTGTACAGGGCTGGATTTTAGTTGTGAGTATGCATCCATTACAAAAAAAGTTTACAGAGTTCATGGAGATAGCACTTTGCTTCCTCCTTTCTACCCCACCCTTTCCAAAGGCGCCACATGAATAATGTGAATTAAACCCCTTATCTTACTATAAATTGGTTCTCTACTCCCCTTCCCAGAAAGGCCCCATCCCATTTCTCTGGGCGTCCTTCAGACTTTATCTTAAACACCATCTTCTCTAAGCCAACCCCCTTGGAACTCTTCCCTAGGCTAGTCATTCAGCCCTCCTCCCTTTGCTAACCCATTTGTAGTCCTTTCCACAGTGATAGCCCTCACCAGATCGCTCCTCAAGGCAATTCCACTTACTCCAGGAGACTGAAACAGTGCCTAGTATTAGATGCTCAATAAATATCTGGACAATGTAGTCACCCAATCTACCAGTGATGGCTAAAAGTGGATTAAAAGCAAACTTAAACGTGCTAATTCATAAGACAGAGAACAAGTTCTAAATGTCATGAAATGTAACAGTATAAAGGTACGATCGAATTTTTAAATAGCCACTTGCCCAATTTCAATATAACTTGTTTCATATGAAAATGAATTAAGTAGCTGATGAATATTTGTCATATGAATCCAAATCAGTGATTTCAGTATTGCTACAAATGGTTTAGAATCAGCTTAATTTCTGACCATTCTCAAAGTTCACAGAAGCCTGCAAAGGTCTTTTCAAAATCATTATCAATATGAAATTAGTTACACTTAAAATGGGTTTGTTTCTTTGCACTGTCCCAGAACTGAGTACTTGCTGGGCTCTAAGTGCCCTTTAAGAAATGTATTACGTGTGTGTTGGGGGGGGGGGGTTCACGTACAATTCATGGGGCACAATTAAGTTATTGATGCCACAAAAATCTCCCAACCACCATAAAGGGACTTTCCTAGAACCTTCCCGTTCTTTTTCGGAACGGGAAACCGACTCAAAAGGTCCATCTTTAATGAGCCACACTCTAAGTAATTCGGAAACAAGAGGTGAAAGTACATTAGCCGTCCTTAGGGCTATGACTGGCAAAATACTTTGCGTAAACGCCAGCGTGAAGTAAAAGGGAAGGAGAAGTTGACTTCACTGAAGTCGGATTTGAGCACAAACCGAGAGGACGGCTTCTGCTGAGGTCAGGAGCAGCACTGGGCAACCATCAGGCCGGCGTGTCCCACCCCAAGCCCCGGGAGCCTCCGATTGTTTGACACATCAATGGATTAGTCAACGCGGGGGCCATTCATCCCCCCCCCCTCTCTAATTTGCCTTAATTACTCTTCACACAAACGCTCAAGTTTACTCGAAGTTATGACCATATGGAAGCTTCTCTTTGCCCCGCGTGGAAATCCAGGCCTTTACCAAATGACCACGGACTGCTCAATCCCAACCAGGAAAACAGGGAGAGCCCTGACAAAGAGCAAACAGCTAAGGGGCCCCGCACAGAATCGGAAGACGCTCGGAGGCCGGAGGGAACGCCGTTCAAAGGCGACCTGGTCCCCGAAGGCAAAGCCCAGTGGGAGCCTTAAACGCCAGCGATCGGATGGAAGGCAGGCAGGGGAGGACCCCGCCCCAGGAAGCTCGATGCCGATTCAAACAGCAACTTGGGTCTGTCGCCTGGGATCGGGATCGCGGGAACAAAGGCGTATATTACGGGAAGCAAGATGTCTGGAGTCAGAGGGACGGTCTGCAGCTGCCGAGGCTGGGCGCCCTCCGCCCACAGGTCTTACCTATGGTGGAGATGAAGGTGGTATTGAAGGCATCATCCGAGAAACGAAAGAGGACGCAGGTCTTCCCCACGCCCGAGTCCCCGATCAGGAGCAGCTTGAAGAGCAGGTCGTACGTCTTCTTCGCCATTGGGAGGAGCGGCTCAGGCTCTCGCCGCCGGCGGCCCCAAGGGATCGGTCCCTCTCACTACGGCCAACTCCCCACTCCGGCGTTCTCAGGCCGGAGGACCGGGCAAGCGTGGGGAAAGGGGGGGCTCGGAGGGCGCGGGCGACCTACGAACGGCCTCGTCGAGGAAGCCCCGACGGTGGCGGCGTCCGGTGCCTCCGAGGGCGGCGACCACAGCTCCACAGCCTCTCCCAGCCGCTCCGCCCGGTTCCGGGGAGTCGGTCGGGACAAAATGGCCTCCCCTCCCCCCTCAGGGCTGCTCGGTTGGGACGCTCCCATGGGCTAGCGAGCAAGCTCTGCCGTCGAGGGAGCGCGGCGCGGGCGAAGGCCGCCTCTCCGGAGCAGCAGCTCTGCGCTAGAACGCGGCGATGGTGCCACCTGAGAGGAGCCCGAGCCGACAGGCTCAGCTACATAGCCACAGGAAGCCGCGCCGCGCCGCCCCGGCCAGAGCCACCTTTTCCCCGTGCCCTCTCACGCCGGCGTGCGCGCTGCCTGAGACGCACGCACGCAAGCACGTACGCCCGCCCTTCCCTCTCGCCCTCCCCCTGCGGTCCCGTCTTGCGCATGCGCGCAAGAGGGCGCGGGGGCACCCGGGGGCGGAGGGTGGAGCGCTCGGGGCTCCAAACCTCGTTCGGAAACCGAGCCGAAACCCGAGCGGCTGGAGGGCGAGGCCGCGGGCGCGCTCCCTGGGGCCGCCTGATAGTGCGCGGCGTTACGAGCACGCCCTGCGGGCAGGCGCTGCCGAGTGACTGCGCAGGCGCGGGACGGGGCCTCGCCTCCGCACCCTTCCCGCCCTCCTTGGGGACGTCCTCCGGACTGGGCTCCCTTGGGCCGCTTGTCACGATGTCGAGCAAGGAATTTAGCGATGGTCTTGGTGGCCATGTATCCCTGTGTGGGTGTAGCTCGTAAACGCAAGAAAGGGTCGCGTCCCGAGTGCTTTAATAGCCTCTTTGCTGAAAGGAGACGCCCCCTGGAGTGCTCACCCTCCGGGGGCTTGTCCTGACCAAAGGTGCATTCGGTCTCCGTCCCAGTTTGCTTAAGGAATGAGAGCCGGCGTTCCGGAGGGCAGGAGTCTGAAATCGGGAAACGTGGCCATGCTGCTCAGGTTAGAATGATGTCATCGGCCTCCCTGGGCGAGGAGAGAAGAGGTCTTGAAAACACTCCCCAGTGGAAATAGGGGCTGCGCCCTGCATGGAGCACTGGGCTCCGGCTCTTGGGGTCGGTCCTCTTGGAACCCGGGAGATATTAAGACCTCTTCTCTGAAGGCAGGGCCCCTCCCGGAGACCAAAATCCAGCCACTGATGTCAAAATGTAATGGGGAAGTCTACCCCTACCCCAAGCCCACCCCACTACCTTGGCCCTTCCCTTTTCTCGGCATGCTTCACTCCAAACGCCTGGGCTGTGATTGCCAAGTCGTTGAACGCGATGGGCTGGTTCCACCTGAGAGCAGTAGAAACCCTGGGACTTCGGGAAAGCAAGAACAGGAATTGGGGGAAAGGAACAGCAAAATAAAAACTACGCTCGAATCCACCACCACCACCCCCCCAACAGGCTTGTATATTTAGTGTATAATTAAAGCGGATCTTTCAGGCACTTGTAAACCTATTTCATTCTGGGGCTTAAAGATTTGTCATAGATTTTTCCTTCCCAACAATCTCTAAACCTTCTGGTACTGAAACGCTTGTTTTCTTTAATACATCCCACTCCTCAGTTCATGTCTCTGACTGTCCAACTTAGTCATGTCACTTAAACGTCTTAACCTCTATGACTCATCTTCCACTTTGTAATGTCTTGTGATAATGTCAACAATTCTGAATTAGACTGCCTATGTTGTTAGCTGCTGTCCCGTCAACCCATGGCCACATATAGACAACAGAATTTGGGCCTGCAGGATCCTCACAATCACTAGAGTGTCTTCAAGTTCATAATTGCAATATTGTACCAATCTATCGCACAGAGGGTCTTCCAAGCTCTCATTGGCCCCTCCTTCACCAAACAATGTCCTCCTCTAGCAATTGATGTTTCCTAATGCAATGCCCAGCGTGAGCAGCTTGGACCATGTTCTGTTGTGATCCATAATTTGTTTTCAGTGGCCCGTTTCCTGGAGTAGACAACCAGACCTATCTTCTTAGTCTGGAAGCTCTACTGAAACCTGTCCCCAGGAGTAACCCTACTGGCAGTTGACCTATTGATGGGTTCAAAAAGCCTGTGGTGAAAATGAAGTGGAAAGATTATTGGATTTTTCCACGAACTTTTTGAGGCCCACTTAGCTTCCAGGATTATAACAACATGCAAACCATCACAGAGCAACAGACCAGACAGATGGGTGTCACAGACAAGCTATACAATGACAAAATAGGTAATGCTCAGGGTTTCACAAATCTGTGATTCGTTCAGAGTTGCAATGTTGAACACTTGCGGAAAACGTTCAGTGTTCGCTTGATCCTTCCTTTCAAACTACATTCAATTAACCCTCATACTTCTAAACATTTTAGATTTTTTTAATATAAAAATTCTTCTTTGGAGAGTAATATAACTACATCACTCTAAGGATTACAAAAATAATCAAAACTCAAACTGAAACAAAATTTACTCTAAGTGGTTATTCTATGTATATGAGGAGATCATTCTGATTCCAAACCAACGATCAATAGATGGAAGTGGGTGAGGAGGGAGAAGAAAAGAAGATCAACCATTGGCAAATTTTAACTCAGTTGAATCCTGCCCTCCCCCTTTTACTGACTCAACCGATACAAAATCCACTGCCATGAAGCCAATTCTGACAGTGGCCCTATAGAGAGCCTCTGAGGCTGCAAATCTTTCTGAGGGCAGAGAACACCATGTTTCTACCCCAGAGTATCTGGTGCATTTACTCATGGACCTGGCAATTAGCAATCCACCACTTACTAGCCAGCACTATCAGGGTTCCTATGAAATCAACTCATATTGGGTCTCAAAGTGGTCTCTGCAGGTCCAC